AATCAATATTTTATTTTATTAAATTATCATTGAATTAACTTATTTTTGTTTAGGGAATGTAAAGTAGAATTATATACAGATGGAAAACATTCATGTTCTTCTTTAAGTTACAGAAATTTCACAAATATTTGATCAAATTCTTGTTAGTGATTAAACTGAAATAGAATGTAATTAATATAATCAATTATTCAAAATGAGGGTGAAAAAAACCCAGAAAGTAGACATACGTCAATGTTTATGTACTTTAACAAACTGATAATCAGTATCAGTATGACTGTGTATAAAAGCACAGTGCTCATAGAGAATTACACATTTTTAAATTATATTTTGTACATTTTTTATTCAACATTCCAATTTACAGTAAATCTAGACAACTCAGAGCTTTAGTACATTTTTAGTAGTAAAATATATCAAAGACCCCACTGTGGCTGCAGGTCAAATAACAGGTTAAATATCGACATAATTTCTTCAGGTTGATTTCAAAACAAGTCAATTTTAACAGGAGTAATCGATGCAGTTATGGAACTGAGTCAGATATCCTCAAACAGGTCTTCTGCTGCAGACGTTTCAGTTGAAGCTCCTTTTTTAGCATCTATACGGTGGTGGGGAACCTGCAGTTGACTTGATGCTGCAGAAGAGTCTTTCCTGTGGAATATACAAACACATAGAAAATAAAGGTGTATTCTAACATTTGTTTGGCATACTAACGCCAAAGCACTGGTGTTGTTGGTCTACAGACCATCTAGAGCAGATTTCAAAGTGAGTTGAGAGTATATTACCATCACTTTTTACAGGTTTTAAAATCGTCAGGGGGAGAAAGTCAAATCACCTTAGACATTGGAGAATCTGGGGTCAACTAACAGGCAGGGGAGCCAACAATTCTTCCCTTTATAAATCTGCCTGCTTTTCTCACCTTCCTGAATCTAAAAATCAACCTTAGGGCTGAAGAGAATCCATCACAAACTTTATGCCATTTTTTTTTGTTTCTCCAAGCCTGGCTTGCTCCAACAATAAAAAGCTGAACATGAGAAGCAAAGTGCAGCGTGAGAGAGCAGAAGAGGGGCCCGGATCTTGTTTAAATCATTACCAACTGCATTTTAAGGCCTCCTGGAACCAGTTAGGAGCAAACAAGAGAAGCGTTTCAGCGAAGTCTTTGTACGCGGGGGGTATGACGAGTGTATTTATTTTTTTCCCCCCCAAGGGGTGAGATAGAATTGGGGTAGCGAGTACGCAGGAGCCCCCATAGAGAGCTGATCTGAGGAAAAGTAGAAGCTGCAGTATGTACCATGATAATGAGTTTGGCAGTCAAGAAGCTAAAAAAGGAGCTTCAACATAGACTTTACATCTACCCTTTCTATCAAAAGGAAGAAACAAAGGCAGTTATTGTTAAAGTACAAGTTATTGCCTAAATATCTAATTTATCAGTTTAGTACTTTTTGGCAGAGTGTGCTGTTAGATTTTTTTCCCCCCTTTCTTCCATTCTCTCTACTATATCACCATATATAGTCATAAATTCCACCAATCAATAGTAATAAGGTAGATATACAAGTATTTTTATTTTTTTACAGAGATGATTAAAAAGGACAAGCAGAACGGATTGCAAATCCTTTTTGATGCTAGGATTGTTTTTCACCTTTCCTGGTCCCAATCTTAACCCACTGAGAGCCTGATCTTCAAAGTTCCCATATAAGCAGTGCTAAATTGTTTGTAAAAGAAAAAAAAAGGCTGCATGTACAATTAGTGGGCGTGTCCTGGGTGATCTACATAGATAAGATAGAGATAATGGATAACAGATGCAAGAGCGATTCCCACTGCTCTATTTGCATGTGCCAGCAGTAGATTAAGGGAGCAGGATGGACATAAAAGAAAAATGAGATAACAAGCTATAGAGCTGGAGGTAATAAGGGTAATAATAAAAATAACAATAATGATAATTAGCACAATTTATAAATGCACTTAAAATGTATAACCTTAAAGTAAAAACATCTCAAAACATGAAAACAATAGTAGTTGAAGGTTTAAATATCGATAACAACAACTGGAAAAAGTGAGCTTTTCACAAACATTAGTAAAGGAAATTACAGTCAAGATTTACAGGGAAACGAAGGTTTTCTATAGTCTGGCAGCCTTCAATACTCATTGTTTATAAAACTGTAAGTTCAGTTTTAATGTTTTTTTCATGTTGTTTTAAATGTATTAAGATTGTATTCCTCATACAGAATTATTCCTTCCATATTCAATATTTGATTAATTAAAACCCTTCTACTGTTACTATTGGTGACAACCAGAAAACAAAACAAAAAAATAATAATAATAAAAAATATATATATATATATATATATATATATATATATATATATATATATATATATATTCACATCTGCACAGACTCATTATTGTCTTTTGTTGGATCTAAATGCTACAATGATTGCTGACATATTTGTACTTTACTTTGAAAATGTGCTAAATATAGATGTAAAAATTTGATCTGTTTCAGGTTAAAAAAATAAAAATTACATTTGAATATCATACTTCAATCTCTTTGCATGTCCTATAGTTCAACATATGTTTTGCATATTCATGAAGTCAAAATACTATTTTGCTCCTGACACAGATGCAGCTCTGGCTGTGGCTGGTTAGTAGATCTGCTTTGTTAATGCTATCAAGTTTTCTTTTTTACGCTAACCAGGTCCCCTGATGAGCCGCCACTATGTTTAGCAAATCCTCAGCAGTGAAAAACGTATTGTTCTAGCCTGTCACTGGGGTTAAGAGACTATAAAATAAGTGCTGAGGTAAAACAAAATATGACCCCTGGTCAATCTGGGTAATTAATACATAGAACAAACATTTAATCAATTCAAGGGATGTTTAAAAAAAAAGCACATATTGAAAACCATTTACCAGACAGTCAAGGGGAGATGCATTCGGCTAAATATAAGGGGGCGTAGCTTTACTGTGGGGTATACAGTCTACAGAAAGAAAAAAATGCCAAAAACATTCAGAATAATTAGGTTTAAGAATTAAAGAAGAAATATTTACTCTCATAGGCATTTTGAAAATAGAAAAGAGGGGTGTCGTTACTTGTCGTTT